TCCAACTCGGCACTCTGAATGCCTGGTGGCACCGGGCCCCCAGCATCGCACACGCGCACTCTCCGCCAGCCAACCTCACCCCCCCCCCCCCAGACAAAAGCACATCGATGTTGTTACTATTTTTAGGTAAGATGATAGACCCTTTCCCTGTGTGCTTTTGGGGCATAGATAAAGCGGTCCATTACCGCCCAAGACGAAGTCATTAAGACAGTTTTGCTCTGAGAGGATATACAAGGGGATTGCGACAGCCGTGTGTGACTGTTGTTGTTTTTGATCGATTATAAGAGTGTGGAGGACAGGGGAAGACTGGTTGCCAGTAATTGTGTCGTGTGTGGTGATGAGTGTCCACGTGGAGGAAGAGGAAGGCAGCAGCCGCAGTAGGATGGTCCACAACACCTCTGTACAATGGTGAGCAGGACAACAATGGCACCCCTGGCTGGGTGGGTGGGAAGGAGCAGGGTGGGCGAGCGTCTCAACTCAACAGGAGCTGAACGGAACGACAACAGGTGGACCGATGGAGAGAGAGAGAGAGAGAGAGAGAGAGAGAGAGAGAGAGAGAACTTGTGACAAAGGTCAAAGACACAATACACAGAAGAATACGCCAGAAAGAAGTAGAGGAAGAGCTTATTTTCACTTTAATTACTTGAAGCACTAAATCCGTGAGGGTCACTGAGCACAAGTAAATGGGGAAGAAAGTAGATGCACCGGAAGTAGACAGACAGGAAACAGATGGATAGAGAATACATAAAAAGGTAGGGATAATCAGCTTTGATCCGAGGAAGAGAATGGAGCTCTATTAGCTTGGATCGAGAGCTCTTTACCCGCGTCAAGAGAAAAGAATAATCAAAAAGATGATGTCAGTTTTTTTTCCAGAAGTGGAAGAGCGTTTGAGCAGAGATCAGAGAACGGAGGATCGAGCCTCCATTTGAATGACACACACGCTCACAACACACACACACACACACACACACACACACACACACACACACACACACACACACACACACACACACACACACACACACACACACACACACACACACACATACACACACACACACACATACACACACACACACACACACACACACACACACACACACACACACACACATACACACACACACACACACTACAACACACACACACACACACACACACACACACACACACACACACACACACACACACACACACACACACACACACACACACACACACACACACACACACACACACAAACAAACATGACTGTTGTCTTCCAAACGTGACTGTTATCTTTCAAACGTGACTGTTATCTTCCAAACATGACTGTTTGTTATCTTTCCAGAGTTACTGTGTATAACTTCACAGCTTGAGAAACTATGTACAGGCTACACGGACATCACGATGTCAAAACAACATGACAACTGACGTCAGTGCTGAGTGTTGATGATGTCCTGGTTCCAGTCTGACAGATGTTTGCTCTCACCATAAATGGATCAATCATTCTGAGCCACATCTATCGGATCTGGGCCAGCTGCATTTCCTTTAGTCAAAATCTGATCAGAATTGATGATTGTATAGGAATAAAGACGTGTAATACACAACAAAACGACGTTTCGAGCAAATCTGAGCAAAATGTTTTGGTTTCTTGTCTCAGTCACAAGATTTCTTAATTGCAGACGTTTCGCCTGCCAGTGACTCTATCAGTTCCATTCAGAGATTGATATAACGAAGACAGTAGAAGTTGAGTTAATTAGTCTCTCAGCCTTGGAGAACTGTATAAATAGTAGGTCTACAAGACTGAGGGACTGATTTCCTAAATTTCACTTCTACTGTCTTCGTTATATCAGTCTATGTATGGAAATGATGTAGCCACTGGATGGGGAAACGTCTTCGAATAAAGATATTCAGGTGTTGCACATGTGTCTAGTAAGTAAGTAAGTAAGTAAATTTATTCAGGTATACACAATACAGTTACATAGAATTATCATACATAGCAGCATATGTGTAGAGAACCTAGGATAACCCAAAAAAGTCAGACAGAGTGACTTATTTCCATTGGGGTCCTTAATTCTAATTCTTTATCTTGTCCGTATTGTGTCCCATAATTGTGATGACAAAGATTGCTCTTGACAGTGATACGGAATATAGATAGAGAAGTAATAAACGTTCTGAATCTTTAACATGAGTGGGACTTGAACTTGAGCTAGTAGGGTTAGCTAAGCTGGGGCAGTATTGAGAGTGGACTGGGCCAATATTTTTGATAGTGGGTTTGGGAATGACCTGCCTAGTATGAGCCAATAGGCTTGCTGCAGTGTTCCTTCTTATGTATAATGACATAGGTCAATTCCTCCATTCACTTCTTCCCTCCTTTTTCTTCCCAGTCTCGTGCGTCCAGTGGGACTGGAACCTGGATGGAGAATCGATCGTAGGTTCGTGTTCTGGGGTTGATACGCCTCAGTTGGACGTCGGCCTGTGCTAGGTCAGTCACACGATCAGTCACTTGGGATCAGTAACAAGGGGTCAGTCACCTGGAGGTTACACGCACTCGGAGTCAGTCACCTGGAGGTCACACTTACTCGAGGTCAGTCACCTGAAGGTCACACACACTCGGGGTCAGTCATCCACAAACTTACCATGTATTCAAACAAGTATAGGAGTGAATATGTCGAAAATAAAGAGGAGAAGTAATATATTTTAGAAAAAAATATGATGGAAGGTAAAGTAAGAGTAAAGAGGAACATGAAACTGAAACTGAGAACACATGAACTGCAAATGAGAACATTGGGAGAACGGGACGAAAGAACACAAACAGAACTGTAGAGAAAAAGAAAGGAGGGGAAAACTGAAAACAGAGAACAGGGAAAACTGGAGAAAAGAATACGGAAATAACTATTGAGAAGAATGCACGAGGATGATTATACTCAGCACTGGGGCCCCATCACTGACAACTCGTCATCTGAAACGAATGTTCAATGCTGCGGGCAGCAGAATGAGATGATGGTGGCATGTATGTGGGCGTGTGAGCATGTGTTGGAAGGAGGAAAGGAGGGGTTAAGGGTGACCCACTTAGCGTGATCAAGGATGTCCCTAACGTGTACTTACTTTTGCCACACCTCTCACTGTGATTACACAGGCACCTGACCTGATGCTCAACCCACGCTGGCTTCATACTGCGGAGAAGCGTCTTTTTTCCCCGATAGCGACCATTGCCCGGAAGACCCGTCCTTGTGGGACCCCTTTCCAGGAGACCTCTTCCTGGGAAAGACTCATACCAGGGAAGATTCCCTGGAAAAGACCAACCGCAGATGGATGGAGGTAACGAGAGGACATTATTATGAGTCGAGCGTGCCACCATGAGGGAGCTCCGGGAGTGATTGATAGAACTATCAGAGTATAGATAGGGCGAAGGAGGGAGGTACATCACTCTGATCTTCTATCTCCTCCTCTTCTTCCTCCTCTTCTTCTTCTTCTTCTTCTTCTTCTTCTTCTTCTTCTTCTTCTTCTTCTTCTTCTTCTTCTCCTCCTCCTCCTCCACCTCCTCCTTCTTCCTTTCTACTGATGACTACATGAACTTAGTGAGTTGTCAGTCTTTTTGTGATGGTTAATTAATGACTGTTGTCACTATGTTAGTCACTTAGTAGAGTCGTCGTTTCAACGTTGTCGGTCTTCTTGTGTTGGTTCGGTGATGACTTTTCTGACCATGCTTATGCTTAGAGATGCAGATATACTGTTAACTGTAGCCGTGTTCAGATATTGCTGACCTTCCTTCAGAATCTCACAAGACTGTGACTTTATGTTCAGGAATGCAAGTGTTTAAGTCTTATATTTATGAGAGACTTGTGGGTAAAAAGACCCGAAACGCAGAGTAAGACTTTAAAGTCTTGTAGGACAGATGACCTTATTCCCTTCTCTCTCTCTCTCTCTCTCTCTCTCTCTCTCTCTCTCTCTCTCTCTCTCTCTCTCTCTCTCTCTCTCTCTCTCTCTCTCTCTCTCTCTCTCTCTCTCTCTTTTTTTTTTTTTTTTTTTTTTTTTTTTTTTTTTTTTTTTTTTTTTTTTTTTACACAGGGTTTGACAAGGCTAAGGATCCCTAGCTTTATTGACAGCTATTTACAGGTTAAGGATTCCTAACTTTATTGGCAAGCTAAGAGCTGTTACCTACATCAGCTCATTTGAAAGCATTTTTATTGTTATGAGACACACAAGTAGGGAACAGGATGAAGTTGGAGCCATCTGTGGGCCAGCATTTTCATTTGATCAACTGACTTTATCTCGTTGACATCATTATGCTGTACGAATGTGTTCCATACTCTAGTCATCCTGGGTATGTATGATCTCAGATGGAGTGATGTTCTGGAGAAGGGTACAGCCAGAGTGAAGTTGCTGCTTTCTGCCCGTCTTGTGGCATAAAAGCTTGTTTCACGCTGTCCTCGAAGTGGATCCAAGTGTGGTATTTGACAATATTGGCCTTGTACATAACAGTAAGGCCACCTACATCCTCCTATGTTGAAGGCTCTGCTGAAATGACAGATCTATCCAGGATGGGTCCAGGCGAGAGATAGACGTCTTGCTCTGTTCTCTACTCTGTCAAGCAGTCGCAGATGAGAGGGGGGCAGGCAAACCAAGAAAGTGGAGCATACTCAAGGTGTGAGCGTACTTGTGCCTCGTACAGGATCTTGCAACCCCTACTGTCAAGCAGATGCGAGATACGGCGAAGTGCTGTAAGCTTCCTGGCTGCCTTGTTTGCAAGATTTACAACATGGTTCTTCATGGTTAGTTTGGAGTCAAATTTCACCCCAAGGATATCAACTTCTTCTCCAGGTGCAACATCCTCCCATTCATCCTTACTACTGCACCAGCATTACCATCATGGTGCCTAGAGACGATCATCATTTGCGTTTTTCTCAGGTGCAAATGTTACTGCCATCTATTTCCCCAAGCTGATATAGCTCTCAGCTGGTGATTGATGTAGCTTAGAGCAGCTGGCATTTCTTCTCTTGGATAAGTGAATGTCA